ACTAAAGACGAAACTTCTTTTATGCTTTTGGCGAGAGTCGGTCGGTACTTTCAACTGTCGTTTATGTGCAGAAACAATTCTACCAGCGAGAGAAATCTGAAAGATAGTAGAACAGATTTGTTTCACATATTTTGCTGGAAGCCATCTGTTACACCCCTGCGGAGTGTGACGAACCTCCTTCTATTTAGCAACCTTGCATCCGACTTAAAGATGTCATCAACTGTCATCGTCAATGACGAAGCGCCCAACCGTAAGTAAAAAAAGAGAACAGAAGAAAAAGTGAACAAAGTCACGGTGAGATTTTCTGGCTAGTTTTTTCATTGAAATTATTATAATTCTAATTTTTTGATTTTAAAACTAGTAATACTAATAGTTAAAAAGAAAGTGATTCGTTAGCAAGAAATTCCGGATAATTGTACTCTAATATAACAGGCAAAGGCCTCCTACTAGCGGTACGAATAGCTGAACAAGTTGCGAAGGCTAAAAAGATACTAAACGTGAGTAATATGTATAACTACCAACTATGATCATGCATTGAAGCTGTTTACAATTAATTATCCTTATTCCTAAAGCCTAAATCTAAATTAAAAGATATGACACTTACAATTAGGACATCCACTTAAACCTAATGAATTCTTGTATTGAATTTGTCATTAAAGGAATTTTTTAACCCTCCCTCACCATTCTGAAACGGGTTATAAAATCGGAAATAAATCTTGTTTGTTCATGCAACACATCTTTTAATATCGGTCTTGTTAGGATTTTCATAAAAGATCTGATCACCTTTTCTTAAATTAGTGAACTGGTCAGAAACATTATTCTTGTTATTTATGCATGCAGAATTTTGGTCGTTAGTATTGATCTGGTTATGTTTATAATTACTTTTAGGGTTAATTAAATCTAATAAAGTCTTTGGTTTATAGCACAGTAATCTCTCTGTTGGAAATACGCCATCCTTTTTCAAGCAGGTATTCCTGTAGTTAATGAGAAAATATGCAATTTGTTCGTCTGTGTCTAGACGTCTAATGACCGGATCTACAAGGAATTTTTTAAAAACCTCCTTGACTAAACGTACCGCTCTTTCGGCTTGACCATTGCTTTCCGGATGGTAAGGCGGACTTTTTAAAACTAAAACTCCTTGTTTTTCAAAGAATTTTACAAACTGATCAGAGTTAAAAGGTGGGCCTCCATCGGTCACTAATACATCCGGCAGTCCATATCGGGCAAACATATTTATGAAAACTTTCAAAACCTTCTTGCAATCAGTTCCAAACTTCATATATTCCAGCTCGATCCACTTGCTGTAGCTATCGATAATTACTAGAAACACCTTCTTCTCCAAATAGAAAAAGTCCGCATGAATTCTGCTAAACGGTTTGTTAGTTGGGATCCATTCGGAATAGGGGGCACGTTTAGTAATTGCTGTTGTGACATTGTAGATATTACAAGACTGAACGTAGTTTTCTACATCCTTATTTAGACCCCACCAATACACTGTCCTCCTAGCTAGTTGTTTAATTTTACTCATACCTGAGTGATTTTTGTGGAGCATACTTAATATTTGTCTTTGCATTGATGTTGGGATCATAACTCTGTCTTGGAACAGGATACAACCATCTACTTCCTCCAAATCTTGATGATTGGCTTACACGTCCAGCATATTTCGATTTATACGCTTTGGCCATCCATTTTGAAGATACTTTTTTATTAGGCTCAACAATTCATCTCTCTCCGTTTGTTTGGCTATTTCTCTATAATCTATAGGGAATTCTTCAGTAAAGTTCAAACTTTTTATATATTCTCTGGATAACTCTTTTGGAACTGGTTGATTTAGAGGAAATCGTGAGCAAAAGTCAGCATTCGCTAGTCTTGTGGACGGTCGGTAAATTATCTTAAAGTCATAAATTGAAAGATCCATTATATATCTTTGCAATCTAGTTACCCAAATCGCATTTTTACCCTCTTTACCAAATATTCCGATAAGTGGCTTATGGTCAGTATAAACAGTAAATTCCTTCCCATACAGGAATTTATGAAATTTTTTTACTGTACTGACAATAGCTAATGCCTCTAAATGCAGTATTGGATAGTTTTTCTGGGCATCATTTAAAGTGAAAGAGGTAAAACTGATTGGTTTTTCTTCACCGTTAACAACATGTGACATAACTCCTCCAATTCTATAGCTGCAAGCATCCGTAACTATCACGATGGGTTTTTCTTAATCAAAATATTCTAGCATTTGTGGATTGAGTAAAAATTGTTTACACTGTTCAAAAACTCTCTCACACTCATCACTCCAAACAAATTTTACGTTTTTTCGCAAAAGGTTATACAAACATTTTATACGGGACGAGAGGTTTGGAATAAACTTAGCGTAGAAAGTTAATAATCCCAAAAACGCCTTAAGCTCAGTTACTGTTCGTGGAGATTTTGCATGCCGAATGGTATCTACTTTCTCAGGGCATGGAAGGAGGCCATTTTGTGTCAAAATGTGTCCTAAATAAGGCAGTTTGTCAACAAAAAATTTGCATTTTTTTAGATTTACCTTTATATTAGCCTTAGCCAATCTTTCTAAGACTAGATAAAGATTATTCCGACACGCTTCGAAATTTTTCCCTGAAATTAAAACGTCGTCTAAATAGCAGCGAACGTTTTTCAACCCTTGCAAAACCTGGTCCATCACTTTTTGAAATATTGCTGCACTCGACGAAGCCCCTTGAGGCAGTCTGTTGAAAGTGTAGAGGCCTTTTATTGTGTTTATCACCATAAATTTTTGCGATCTTTTTGATAGTAAAAGTTGAGTGTAAGCTCCTTCTAGGTCAAGGGAGCAAAAAAATTTTGATCCCGATAAATCTGCAAAAATGTCTTGTGCTTGTGGCAAGGGGTATGTGTTTGGAACAATTGCTCGATTTATTGAAACTTTGCAATCCACGACTAAACGTATGCCTTGATCCTTCTTTACGATGATCACTACTGGAGAAGCCCATTCACTTACGTCCACAGGTTTAATTATACCATCCCTTTCCAATGCATCTAAATAATCAATAACTTTAGGACGTAGTCGTAATGGAACTTCATAAGCTTTTCTAAATATAGGGGTGTCATGCTTTAAAACCAAATCTCCTTCAAATCCCATCCTCGTCACCACTGAAATAGCCCGGACTTAGTAGAGTAGTAGATAGACTTTCTTCCTTTGTAATAATTAACACCTTTTTCAGTTCGCAGTTCAAACAGTTATGACCAGTCATTTATTTCCCTGTTTTCATTACACTTCCTACTTCCCTTTTTCTTATGTTCCTCTCTCGCTCTTGTCTACTTTCCTTTTCCATCTTATCGAATCGGTATTATTCATTTTACCGCCTGTGTTCTGAAGCAGTGCTTCCAGAACATGTGGATATATCACTAATAGATCCACCCGATCCATGAAATTACTGTTGAAAAATATGTCAATCGGCTTCAGCCCACCGATGATGACAGATTTCAACACAAAAATCAGGTTGCTATGAGTATTCGATGTTGATTAACGTGAGCTACTCAGAGTTACTCGAAATTAACTCTGATTTTGCGCATGATCAAAAGCTGTCAAGCCCCTTGCACTGAACGTCTTGACAAGGTTCTCTTGAAAGGTCTGCCCATGTAGTGAGCCAGTCCAATTAATTAAAATCGAAGACAACAAATCAAGAAGACTGGCAACTTTGCCAGAATTCAAGCGACAGATACAGTAGCGCTGCGCTTGAGTGAAGGTGGAAGCAACGCATAGAAAAATGAGCAAATATACAAACCCTTCGTCTGAGGATGTAATCTTTGCTATCAAATTCGTACGACGCATTTACCTTTGAGCGGCAGATGACGCGATTGTACCTGTCTCATAGCGTTCGTATGAGAAAATAAAAGGGTTGCCAGTCTTCTTGATTTGTTGTCTTCGTTAAAATGAAAATGAAATCCCGTCCAGGCGATTCGCGCAACGGGATTTCTAATGAGTTTTGTTTAGTGAACTTCAAGTCTAGTGAACTAAACAAGCGTTAGAAAAAGCTAGTCTTATGCTCCATCTCCGAGTGAAGTGGGAACACTTCAGGAAGACTGGAGGAAATTTTCTAAACCTCAATCAGTCCGGTAAGTGCTAGGGATGGGGTCACGGAACAAAAAAAATGCTACATGCCTGCTTTGCCTTTGCCAGCATTTGGCGGCTGTCCTGTCCTAAAAAATTTAAATGTTAAAATTGTGGTGAAAACCACGAATCCAATCTTTCAATCTCGTTCTAAGCGACAGATAGTACCGGCAGTGTAGGTTACACTTAATTGAATGATATCAAGCGTTTCTCAAATGAGAATGATCATGCCTTCGTCAAATGACTAAGCCAACTGATATCACCCAGGTCCCTTTGATAGCGGATAGCTACTTTTCTCATTTTCATCAAATATGTTCAATTGATCTTGAGAATTTACAGCACTGGTGGGCAGTATCTAAAATGAGCTAAAACTCATCAAATCACGTGACAATTGATTGCGGAAAGAAAGGCACATATCAACGGTAGCTGGAAGAATCAGGATTAAATGAGCTCAAATTGAGAGGGGATATCATTATTTTAAAATCGCTAAATTATGCTTTTGTCATGTAAGTCTTCCAAACATGTCCATTGACATCATATTAATTCGTGGAAAGTTCTCTAGGCATTCACGTGACTCAAAAAGACCTCGCTTCTTGAAGTTGACTGGACATCAGACTCCTCCATCCTATCCAGGGGATCCTCCGGACTTACCTGAAGGCAAAAACTTCTTTGGTTTTCCACTGGAGGTTCTACATTATCTGGATTATCGTAAATTTTCTGTATTAATTGGTTTCTTCGAACTGAAGCTAATTTAATAAAAGCTACTTAATATGGGTGATTGAGTGTTTGGGTTTGCTCTCAGCATCTTCAGGATTATTTTGACAAAGTTTAATGCAAACAAATATGGCTTTATTAAAAGAATTCCAACGCTATTTCTTCTGTTCTTCCGGGATTAACCTTGTGTTGTATTTGTCTCCATTGCCGGTTCCGTATTAGGTACAGCGGTCGAATCAGCAGGAGCCATTGTAGCTTCATTACCGCCATCATTTCCGCCACCATTTCCGCCACCATTTCCGCCACCATTTTCGCCACCATTTCCGCCACCATTTCCGCCACCATTTCCGCCACCATTTCCACCATTTCCACCACCATTCGTCGGCTTGCTACCTCCTCCTCCACCACCGTTCCCATTGGACGGTTTCATCATAGTCGTGTCAATTTTGTTACAGTTGACGCAGGTTACATTGAGATTGCATTCCATCATGCAGACCACCGTTACGGTGGCATTCGGTTTGGCATTGATCACCGTTTCCGTCGATTCGTCCGATTCGTCGCTTCCGAACAGCAGTTCCGACAGTTGACCCAGTAGTTCCTTGAATACGGTTCAATAGTAAGAATATTAAGAGTCCTTTAGTGCGCACGAAAGCATTAAACTTACGAATCCTATCGCATCCGCCGGGGGAGTAGAATTCAGGACGGTAAGCACCATCAGGCAACCAACAACCGTTAGTTTCATCAACATTTTTGAATTTGGCTCACAAACGATTTCAACGTTCGACGACGAACCTATTGTTTCGACTGTTTGAAGTATCGCAAACAAAGTGCTCTTTATATTTGAACCATCGCAGCCATCAGGAAAGGTTCAAATATTTAACCACGCCGTTTATGCGTCGGATCGTCTTGTTTCCTCGAAGTAATCCTTGAAAATTTATGAAACTGAAAGTAGGACGACGGTGACGTTCCGATGACGAACGGCTTCCGCAAAGCGTGACTAGCAATCCATTTGACACCTGTGCCTACAACGACGACCGACGCAATGCATGCATTTTCTATTGCGAATGTTAAGAAAAAATTACACCAGAAAATGCTATTATTACACAACACGGCGCTCCATGCCAAGGGGGGTGAGTATGTTGGCGCTATCTTAGGCGCTAAAACACGCGCATGTGACAGCACGGTTACCGGTTGCTAGTAGTTACCTATCTATCTCGGCGAATAGTTGGTTTTTACTATCGTACTGGTACCTTCTGGCATAAAGTAGTGACAAACTCTGTCGTTAATGAACGGCAGGCGACACTTGCGCACATAAGTAACTTTCCGTTGTTTGCACATCGATCAGTTTAATGGGTTCGAATTATGATAAACGCATGCGGCGATGTGGCTCAGAGCAATATGCCGTTCTGAAGGCTGGTAAAAACGAAACATGGCATGGTTGTGGCTTAATTTTGAACTGAACTTTAAGATTGATCAGTAAGGGAAACTGTGAGTCTAGATGCAGTAAGGAAACATAATATTATCAAATTATTGAAATATCCGTTTTCATAGGTTCATAAGTGGAATAGCAAAAATTCCGAAAGGCTACTCATGTTTAAAAGAAGGGGAAAAAGTAGAAGAGTGTCTGCCTAGCGGTACGAACGGAATCTTGACGTAGGACCGTGTTCGAAAATCTGTAATTTTAACTGTATAATGTAATGTAATGTATGTAATGACCCTAAAGGCCCACCCACATTAGATCCGGATCGGACGCGTTGCGGCAAAGTGACAGCTAAATCTATTGTCCAATTGTCAAATGTTCGCCGACGCAACGCAAACGGATCTAATGTGGGTGGTCCTTAAAAAAGACAATTTTTTGTTTTATCTGGTATCCCTCAAATGGATTGTTGTAGACTTGCATTGGATTGTTAGAAAGAATGATTAGGCACTAATATTGTCGAACGACTGTTCATCAACTGACTCGAGAAACACATATTCTCAGACGGAACAAGTCTGACTCTGAAACATCTGCTATGGCATTGTTGGATGTTGAAAAAGCGTTCGGTAATGTCTAGCATGTTGATCTCGGGTTCAAATTACAACGATATGCTTTTCCAATATTCTTCGTGAAGATTATCCAAAACTATCTCTCTGATGCCTTCAACATTGGCGCTGGTGTTCCACGAGGAAGTATCCTTGATCCCATCATGTTCAACGCATCTCCGACATCCGAGGTCTCCCAGATGGTGGAACGTTGTCTCTGTTTGCAGATGACACATACATCGTCTACAAGGATTATTGTAAATGATGCTTTGTTTGCCAGCTGTCAGCGTTACGTCTCTACTGAACAACACGGATTCTTCCCAAAACGATCTGTCTCAACGAACCTAGATCAATTCACGCCACTTTTCAAATAGACCAATGTAACATATCCGCCATTTTGAGAAAATCGAAGTTGAAGTTCGGCAGATTATTATTTTAACTGTTTAGAAACCATATATTATGTAATAGTATTTTAATGTAGTCAGTGAATAACATTGAAAATTCGGTAGAACTGTAAAATCACAATTTTACTTTGAATTTCATGCTACAATATAGAAATAAAATCACATAGGACGTTTTTACTGGTCAAGTTGTACATCGGACATGTTACATTGGACGATTTTTCTCAATGACATAATCAATTGGACGTTTTGTTCTACATGATACTACATTCCCTTTCACAGATTTCAGAGTAGAGTACCTACCTTCAGATTGGCCCCGCCTTTAGAAAATGAACGCCAATCATGTTATGCATTCCAAATGACCGGAGTAACAATCATGTATCCATAATTTTAAGCTGTACATTGGAAAATTTTTGACCTATGATTATCTTAAATAAATGAAAGTAAATTTGGATGGATGTTTTTGTATCACATACAATGATAGAAGAGGAATAGTTTGTATCGCTTAGCTTGATTTGTTTACATTTGTTACTTAGGACCTTTTGAAAAGTGACGGTAGAATTCCTCTCCACATGCCTACACGGTGAGAAAAAAGTACCCAAACGTACAGTTCACTTTTACCTACTTTTGACTAGTTTGTCTCCTTTTCTCCGTCGAAGGTTGTCAAAAACGGAGGAGCAAATCCACCAACAGGGGTAGTAAAGTGTGGGAACCCAACGTTGAGTATAATCATATTTGCCTACTTTTGGGTAGAAAGCTAGTGGAAAATTCCATACGAATTGTACACAAGTAAATGTAAACTGCTTTGACCCACTTTACCTACTATTGGTTTCCTGCACTATAGTGCCAAGATGAGTGAAAACAACTTACTTTTGGGTACTTTTGACGTAGGACTACGTCTGTGATTTCAATATGGGGGTACACTTTGTGAAAACCGAAAATGGAACATGTAACACAACTATGAAAGATTTTGAACGTGTATAACTCAGCTGCCCCTGGACCAATTTCAAAACATATATTCCCAGTCGTTCAGAAATATTTCTACGCATCTGTTAAATTTAAGGCTTAGTAATTTTTCAAAATTTCACTATTGCAAATAGCACGAATCTGCAACTGTTGCTAGGATAATTAAAATTATTACTGATTTCCTGCGAAAAGCGATTTCCCTAACACAGATTTCAATGTTGAATTCCATTCGGTCTCACCAAACGGTATTTATTCAATCACCGCGTTATGAGTGGTGGTGTTCTCCAGCATATAACGAAAGGCTCCCCGCAAGCAGCTGACGGTCAAGGCTGCACACAACTGCTAATCGGCTTCAGTTTCAATCACCATTGTGTGGTGGTCTCCGGTCGTCAGCAGCAGCAGTGCTTCCGACGCGTGGCGTTGAACATTGATCTCCAGTACACAATGAAAGGCTGCCTGCAAGCAGCGAGTTGCAGCCCACATGAGCATCCATAGAAGGAGGAAGAAGCCGCACCGCTATTGATCGGAATCAGTAGCTCTTCGTGAGTAGCCGGGAGCCATCTATTGCAAGCGCGTCACCGTTCAAAACAATATACAGTAGACTGATGCAAATTTTGACTTTTTCGCTCCACAGTGCTTAAATGGTTTCAAATCGGGTCCTGATTAGCCTCCCAAAGTAACAACTCATTTGGTTACAAACAGGCTTCGCACAAGCCATTTGAAGTTTGCATGTAAATTACTATGGGAAATCTCAACTTTTTGTTCATTGCCTTCTAGTCTTTTTCCATATTGAGCTGCGAAACGGTTCGATAGCCATTATTATAGAAAATTTTCTCAGCTACAACTTTGCTGAAGATCATTTCTATGTAAAACGAGACAGGAAAAAGTTATTAATTATTTAAGAGATTGGTAAACTTATGACATGATCAAGCAGCTGCTCTGTAGGCAACACTGTATTTTGCAGTGTGACATAGTAGCCATGATTTTTTTGTTCTATTCAACGCCCCAGAAACACCAATGTTGCCTGCTGAGCAGTTGATTGAGCATGATCATAAGACATCAGCGCATTGAACCATTGATAACTTTCGATCCTTGCATTTAATCAAAAAGTGGTCTTCAGCAAAGTTGTAGCTGGGAAAATGTCCTGTAAGTACAGTTGAAAACTCTTGAAGAAAACCGATATGGTGAATTATTAGATAGACATGAACAAAAATCTTGGTTTTACCATAGTAATTCCCATACAAACTTCAAATGGTTTGTGCCATCTCAGTTTCTCACCAAATGGGTTCAAATTTTGAGAGGTTAGTCAGGATCCGATTTAGAATCGTTTAAGTATTGTGGAGCGAAAATTTCAAATTTTGCATCACTCTAATATACAGCCCGCAAGCCATATATGTGTTGAACACCTTAATAGCTCAGCATTACTCAACCATCACGACAAAACGGTCCTTTTCAGGATCACCATACATTTGTTAAAGAGTATTTTCTGGACACTTCTCGCCTCAACTTTCAAATAGGACAATCTAAATTGATCGATTTTCTTCATTAACTCTCTCTTGCGTTAATAACTCGGGTCTATAAACATGTTCAGCTGATATTATCGTCTAATACGCTTAATAATAGTTTTTGTTAATAGACTATGTAGAAAAATGAGCCCGAAATATGAATGCAGCCAATTAGGCGAATCGATCAATTTAGATTGTTCTATGTGAAAAGTAACGCGAGACTTGTCAAGGTCAGCAATCGGATGTTAGTTCCTATAAGTATAAGCTTAAATACCATATATTTTAAAGGCAATTTCAAAAATCAAAGTCGGTCCCGGCATGTAAGTGGTCTGATTTTGATCCAGAGATGATGGATTTTAATTCATAATACGCCAAGCGATAGGTAAGTTTTCTACAAATCTATTAAAATTATCACTTTTCAAAATGTCAATTGAAAATTGCACGAATGTGCAACTGTTGCTATGATAATTAAAATTATCACCGATTGCTTGCGAAAAGCACTTTCCCTAACTCAGATTTCAAAATTGAATTGCATCCGGTCTCACCGTACGGTGTTCATTCAATCACCGCGTGTAGTGAGTGGTGGTGTTCTCCAGTACCCAGAAAACCCTGCTCAAATTCCTATTCCTAAACAAAACATAAGCTCCTGCTGCAGTTAACAAATAAGATTTATTATATAAGACCACGTAGTCCTACGTCACCATTGCGTACAACCTCACAGGGCTGTCCCTTGTAGTTTTTTCTTACCATGTACAAAGCATGGATTCTGGTGCCCAATTCGACGCTGTTTATAAAGGCCCACGCATATTATATCCGGATCGGACAGTGACAGCTAAATCTATTGTCTAACTGTCAAATTTACGTCAACGCAACGCAAACGGATCTAATG